CCACCTGTTGGTCAAAAGTTATAATTAATTTCTGAGAACGCTAATAACTTTTGAACAAATTTGCCTATTGCAATGAAACTGATCTTAATAGATTCCTTGGGTTATGCCAAAAACATAGATATCAGGTTTGCCATAATCAGCCAAACTTCCTGTCCGCCATCTTTATTTCTTTGAAAAACCTTCTTTTTCGAACTCCTCCTAGACCGTTTGTCCGATTTTCACGAAAATTGAATCGTATCATCTCCAGACCGTGCCGACTAAAAGTTATGAATTGCACGATGATAGACAAAACCGTTTTCGTATACCACAGCATCAAAGTTTAGGCATGCTGCCAAAATGACTATTTAGGCTTTATCTCTGCAATGCCTTCACATTTTGACACCAAACTTTGCATGTGTCATTGTCACCTCACTCTGAGCACATCACATCTATTTCGTAACTGCGCCACCTATTGTTCGAAAGTGATAACCCATTAAATCATCTTATAAGTTAATGTTTATGTGATTTTCTTAGCCATTTGCCCAAAGTTCTCTCAAAATGCCCTTAATTGCTCCTTGCTGCAGTTGGTCTGCCACTCCTTGCCATTTTGGCATATGTTGCCGCTTCTTGCGCTTGGCCCCGGTAATGGCTGCTTGCAGCTATATTTATTATTATTCTTCTTCCGACTGGGCGTCTATGGCAGCCCATAGACCGGTTTGCGGGAAAGTTGTTTTGGTTTGACATTCTGATAGAGGACAGTCCCAACTTTAAATACACCAATTTTGGTGTCTCTAACTCATTCCCTCTAGCGCCACCAACTGTCCAAAGTTTCACTTTTATTATGCTAATAACCTTTGAACCGTAAGACCTATCAACAAAATTCTTTTTTCCTCTTATTCCTGAGCTCATGCCGATTCAATCGCACCCTATGACGTCATTTTCCGTCATAAAAACATGGCCGCCATTTTGAATTTTCTAAAAAACGTACTTTTGCAAACTCGTCCTAGACCGTTTGTCCGATTTTCACCAAAATCGCACCGGATCATCTCCAGGCAGTGCTGACAAAAAGTTATGGAATTCAAGATGATTTGCTTAACGGTTTTTGATAAACGCACAAACAAATTTTACGTAACGCTTGCGAAAACAGACGTGAGGCTGTATCTCCGCAACGCTTCATCCTATTCAGACCAAACTTTGTACGTGTCATCACAAGCATGACCTGAACCTACGTGCTGCGTTTCGGCGCAGCGCCACCTAGTGGTCCGGAGATATGAAAAATGGCTATTTTTGCTCGTAACTTCTGAACGGTTTGTCCAAAAATCATAAACTTCATCTCGTTAGATTCAGGGCATCATGCCGAGTCGACTGATATCCAATTTTCCCAGATCGGCCATTTTGGCTGTCGGCCATTTTGAATTATGTGCTAAAATGCTGTATTTTTTGAACGCATGAACGAATTGTTACGAAACTCGGTATGGGTCATCAGTACGATGCCCTGAAGGAGCCTGAGAAGTTTCGAAACAGCGCCACCTAGTGGTGAATTTTTTTCTTCAAACGCTTATAACTTTCGGTGTGGTACACTTATTTTCACGGGAGTCATATTTTTGAGGTCCTGAATCGTTGCCGAGTCCAACGATACAAAATATGTCGGGTTTCGTCTCACGGATGGCGTAGCGTAGCGATTTAGCACGAAAAAAACACTTGGCGATATCTCCAAAACCGCTGTTCCGATCGAGACGAAACCACCGTCAGAAACACGGAATCATAGCTTGTTAACTATACGCTAATGCCCAAATGCGAAAATATTGATAGTAAGGGGTAGTAAAATTCAAACAAAGTCATGTGTCAGTCATTTTTTACGTGTTTTTTCATATAAATGTTTATAACTCGGAAGTAAATTGAGATATTTGCACCAAAATTGACACACATATGTATGGGGTCACTCTGAGGACACATACAAAAAATTGTGGGACTGAGCCTCTTGGTGGCGCTATAATAGAACAAAACGTGAAATTCCCATTGACTTCAATACAGTTTTGTGAAATACAATGCTATACTAAATAAATGCTTTGGTCTAACATTACGAAACTCAGTGTGTGCCATAAGCAGCATGCCCTGAAGGTACTCAAAAGATTTTGAGACAGCGCCACCTGTTGGTCAAAAGTTATAATTAATTTCTGAGAACGCTAATAACTTTTGAATAAATTTGCCTATTGCAATGAAACTGATCTTAATAGATTCCTTGGGTTATGCCGAAAACATAGATATCAGGTTTTGCATAATCAGCCAAACTTCCTGTCCGCCATCTTTATTTCTTTGAAAAGCCTTCTTTTTCGAACTCCTCCTAGACCGTTTGTCCGATTTTCACGAAAATTTAATCACATCATCTCCAGACTGTGCCGACTAAAAGTTATGAATTGCACGATGACAGACAAAACCGTTTTGGTATACCACAGCATCAAAGTTTAGGCATGCTGCCAAAATTACTATTTAGGCTTTATCTCTGCAATGCCTTCACATTTTGACACCAAACTTTGCATGTGTCATTGTCACCTCCCTCTGACCACATCACATCTATTTCGGAACTGCGCCACCTATTGTTCGAAAGTGATAACCCATTAAATCATCTTATAAGTTAATGTTTATGTGATTTTTTTAGCCATTTGCCCAAAGTTCTCTCAAAATGCCCTTAATTGCTCCTTGCTGCAGTTGGTCTGCCACTCCTTGCCATTTTGGCATATGTTGCCGCTTATTGCGCTTGGCCCCGGTAATGGCTGCTTGCAGCTATATTTAGGGGCCAAGCACCGAAGGTGCGGAGGCACCTATTGTATCTGTGCCGGTTCTTATTATTATTATTATTATTATTATTCTTCTTCCGACTGGGCGTCTATGGCAGCCCATAGACCGGTTTGCGGGAAAGTTGTTTTGGTTTGACATTCTGATAGAGGACAGTCCCAACTTTAAATACACCAATTTTGGTGTCTCTAACTCATTCCCTCTAGCGCCACCAACTGTCCAAAGTTTCACTTTTATTATGCTAATAACCTTTGAACCGTAAGACCTATCAACAAAATTCTTTTTTCCTCTTATTCCTGAGCTCATGCCGATTCAATCGCACCCTATGACGTCATTTTCCGTCATAAAAACATGGCCGCCATTTTGAATTTTCTAAAAAACGTACTTTTGCAAACTCGTCCTAGACCGTTTGTCCGATTTTCACCAAAATCGCACCGGATCATCTCCAGGCAGTGCTGACAAAAAGTTATGGAATTCAAGATGATTTGCTTAACGGTTTTTGATAAACGCACAAACAAATTTTACGTAACGCTTGCGAAAACAGACGTGAGGCTGTATCTCCGCAACGCTTCATCCTATTCAGACCAAACTTTGTACGTGTCATCACAAGCATGACCTGAACCTACGTGCTGCGTTTCGGCGCAGCGCCACCTAGTGGTCCGGAGATATGAAAAATGGCTATTTTCGCTCATAACTTCTGAACGGTTTCTCCAAAAATCAAAAACTTGGTCTCGTTAGATTCAGGGCGTCATGCCGAGTCGACCGATATCCAATTTTCCCAGATCGGCCATTTTGGCTGTCGGCCATTTTGAATTATGTGCTAAAATGCTGTATTTTTTGAACGCATGAACGAATTGTTACGAAACTCGGTATGGGTCATCAGTACGATGCCCTGAAGGAGCCTGAGAAGTTTCGAAACAGCGCCACCTAGTGGTGAATTTTTTTCTTCAAACGCTTATAACTTTGGGTGTGGTACACTTATTTTCACGGGAGTCATATTTTTGAGGTCCTGAATCGTTGCCGAGTCCAACGATACTAAACATGCTGGGTTTCGTCTTACGGTTGGTGTAGCGTAGCGATTTAGCGCGAAAAAAACACTTGGCGATATCTTCAAAACCGCTGTTCCGATCGAGACGAAACCACCGCCAGAAACACGGAATCATAGCTTGTTAACTATACGCTAATGCCCAAATGCGAAAATATTGATAGTAAGGGGTAGTAAAATTCAAACAAAGTCATGTGTCAGTCATTTTTTACGTGTTTTTTCATATAAATGTTTATAACTCGGAAGTAAATTGAGATATTTGCACCAAAATTGACACACATATGTATGGGGTCACTCTGAGGACACATACAAAAAATTGTGGGACTGAGCCTCTTGGTGGCGCTATAATAGAACAAAACGTGAAATTCCCATTGACTTCAATACAGTTTTGTGAAATACAATGCTATACTAAATAAATGCTTTGGTCTAACATTACGAAACTCAGTGTGTGCCATAAGCAGCATGCCCTGAAGGTACTCAAAAGATTTTGAGACAGCGCCACCTGTTGGTCAAAAGTTATAATTAATTTCTGAGAACGCTAATAACTTTTGAATAAATTTGCCTATTGCAATGAAACTGATCTTAATAGATTCCTTGGGTTATGCCGAAAACATAGATATCAGGTTTTGCATAATCAGCCAAACTTCCTGTCCGCCATCTTTATTTCTTTGAAAAGCCTTCTTTTTCGAACTCCTCCTAGACCGTTTGTCCGATTTTCACGAAAATTTAATCGCATCATCTCCAGACTGTGCCGACTAAAAGTTATGAATTGCACGATGACAGACAAAACCGTTTTGGTATACCACAGCATCAAAGTTTAGGCATGCTGCCAAAATTACTATTTAGGCTTTATCTCTGCAATGCCTTCACATTTTGACACCAAACTTTGCATGTGTCATTGTCACCTCCCTCTGACCACATCACATCTATTTCGGAACTGCGCCACCTATTGTTCGAAAGTGATAACCCATTAAATCATCTTATAAGTTAATGTTTATGTGATTTTTTTAGCCATTTGCCCAAAGTTCTCTCAAAATGCCCTTAATTGCTCCTTGCTGCAGTTGGTCTGCCACTCCTAGCCATTTTGGCATATGTTGCCGCTTCTTGCGCTTGGCCCCGGTAATGGCTGCTTGCAGCTATATTTGTTTTTGCTTTTATGTTGTACATTTTTGGCAGTAAATGTGAATGCACATGTTTTGTTCATATATTCCGACCCATGAACGCTTTGTGTTTGTGGAGGTACTGGAGGAGAACTCTGGGCCTGCAGGTACGTTATGCAGACTGTGGAGGTTATCGCTTCTGTTATTCGCACAGGGGGAAACCAGGCCTCAGGCCCTCTATACTCATGCTGCACGACTTCTCTGCTCATAAGGACACATGGCTCCCCATGGTCAAGGTATGGTATATTTACATGGCTGTGGTGTGAGGTAGAAAATGAGAATGCTATGTACAGTATATTGTTCATTATAACAGTGATAAGCAGTTTGTGTTTTCATCCTGAACAGTACCTTCCCAAACATCTGCACCTACTGTGCGTCGACATGCCAGGGCATGAGGGTACAACACGTACCAGCACGGATGACTATTCAGTCCAGGGCCAGGTCAAGAGAATACGGCAGGTAATGACCTTTTTCTATGAATAGGTGTGCATATTACATGTTTGTGTTGGCAGCATTTATTAATATTTCCCTCTTTTACTCCACTCAGTTTGTAGAGGCCATTCGACTAAACAGAAAGCCGTTCCACATGGTGGGGACTTCAATGGGTGGCACTGTGGCAGGAGTGTATGCAGCCTGCCATCCCTCAGATCTCTACAGTTTGACCCTCATCTGCCCAGTCGGTTGGTCAATATATTTCGTCTTTGACACAGAATGCATCGACATAACATAAAAATAAACAAAAATGACTCACTCCTACATGCTCACATTTTTCTCTGAAGGTCTGAAGAACCAAAGCGAGAGCAAGTTTGACAGTCAGATGCATGATGTGGAGCACAGCCAGTACACACTGAATATTCCTCTTATCCCATCCACCCCGGAGGAGATGGAGGAGATGCTGAAGCTCTGTTCTCACGTGCGCTTCAGAGTGCCTCAACAGGTTAGTCACACACACACACAAACACGCACGTCATGTAGAGTTACTCTAGATTCAGAACATACTTTCACAAACCATGTGTGGGGTTTACCTTTGTTTGTAGATTCTTCAAGGCCTGGTGGATGTACGGATCCCACACAATGACTTTTATCATGAGGGTAAGTATGAACATGGGCCAACTATTTACTTTATGCAACATACTAGAAAGTCTTGTTTTGCCTAAAATATCTTCTCTATAAACTACCACAGTTTTCATGGAAATTATGAGTGAAAATTCAAAATATGCTTTGCATGAGCATATGCAGCAAATAACTACACCTTTACAAGTCATCTGGGGCAAACAGGACCAGGTATGTGTAAGCATGCATACAGGAGCTAAACGCAGAGTTCAGTACATACTCGGTGTTATTTTAGTGTCATTGAGATACTGATGTAGTTTTAATAATATTCTATATCCAGGTAGTGGATGTGTCTGGCGCAGCGGTGCTTGCCGAGGCTCTTCCACACTGCCGTGTTGATCTGCTGGAGAACTGCGGTCATTCTGTGGCCATGGAGCGACCGCGACAAACAGCCAAACTCATTTTAGATTTCATCATCTCTCAGCAGAGCAAAGAGAGCGCCAGCACGAAGAAAAAATCCTGAGACTGCTCTGCTATCAGTTGTTTTGATTCATACTTAAATGCACCGTAGTAGGCCTATATAACAAACTTAGGGAGAAATAATATTAATAATAATAATTTTGCAGTGTTTTTCAGTTTGACTGATTAAAAGAGATCACGCTTTATAAAAAGTATGGTAACACTTTACAATAAGACTTTATTTGCTAACATTAGTTAATATGAACTAACTATGAGTACATGTATTGGTCTTAATGTCAATTGCAACATTTTTCTATATATATATATATATATATATATATGTATGTATATATATTTTTTCATTTGTTGGCATTAATGTGCTATGAGAACTTAACATGAACAATATTAAGGTTAATTTTACAAAGATTTACAAATTATGTAAAAAATATTGCACATTGTTCATGGTAATGCATTAACTAATATTAAAGTCGGCATGAAATGGAAGTTGCAATTTCTTCCCTGTTGTGATGTAGGCTATGTCCCGCCGGTGAAACGACTTCTAGAACAAGAAAAAATGTAGGGTGGGACTTGATTTTGCACTTGCACTTTTGACCCTGTTGCAAAGTGCTCCAGTATATTACTGTAATGTTATGGTATCAGATGGTAATACCGTTTATACCATGGAACTGATTGTGTACCAAGGCTCTAAATGGAATACTCTCATTTGCATTCAGGTTCTTTGCAGATCTGGGATTAACAGGCTTAAAAAATAAAATATGTGTATCAAGGTTATTTTCGTAAACGAAAACTGAAACTAAGACTAAAACTATTGATCAAAAAACATTTTCGTAAACTGAAATAAAACTTAAAGTTCATCGAGACAAAATTTAAGATGGCTTGAGAAAGCCGGAACATAGTTTGAAGAAGTTTTAAAAGCTTTAAGTTTAAAAAAGTTTAAGATAGATAGATAGATAGATAGATAGATAGATAGATAGATAGATAGATAGATAGATAGATAGATAGATAGATAGATAGATAGATAGATACAAGCTTGATAAAAATTATCATTCTAGAAGAAAATTTCAAATGGCACTTAGAGGCTTTTGCATCTGAACTCTTTATATATATATATATATATATATATATATATATATATATAGTATATATAGGGCAGGCTATACAATTATCCTGCTGTGCTGTGTGTGTCTCTATAGCCAACCACCATTGCAGCATTTCATCAGTAGCTGTTACTATGGCACATGTCCAATCAAATCGAATTTGCCATGTCCATAAGTTCTTGTTGGTGAGATTTTGTAGTTATGTGATATTTTGTGCAAAGCAAAATTTTACCCCCAGCCTTAAAAGGCAATCAAGAATGTCATTAAATCTGCCGTAATGTACGCTGGTGCAGGTCACGTGGCAGTGCGGAATACTGCTGTATTCTCGTCTTTGAGCAGCTAACTCTCAGTGTCCTGTTCATCCGAGACTTAAAACGACCATTAAACCCCTCAGCTCTGGAGACGGGTAAGGATTTGGGGGGGTCATCCCACACATTATCACAGCGAGGAAAAAAAAAACATTTATTTTATTCATTTATGTCATCGTTAAATTAAGTTTGTAGTTCGCAGGTAGCTAGCTGGATATTAGCTGGCTAGCAAAGGTTCCTTGTAAAAACGTTTCATTTAATTAAAACATGTTGATGTTTTTTTATGTTAGGTACAATCGCTGGACATTCCTAACTCTTCTAAACGGTAAGTAATTACGTTGCAGAACGCCTGTTTAGCTGTCTTACCAAAACTGCTACGTTAGCATGCTATTGAGCATCTAATTCACTGAGATTCACACACAGGGATGCATCTTGCGTTTATGTGCGCGTCATTACCGTCTCAGAAAATATTCAAAGACCCTTAATTGGGTCTATACATTTATTTGGCTAAATGTATGACTAATGGTTTCTTATTTGTAGGTAATCATAATATCCGAACTACTTCTGTGGGTCAAAGCGGTTTACCTATCTTTAACAAATGGATAATGGGGACTGGGGGCATAGGGTAAGTATGTGGAGAAATATTTTAACCGAAGTTATTGTTATTATAATATTAAAGTATATTGGTTAATAGCCAGAGTTGTGTTTCATGCAGTATTGCAATTTGACTTTGAAGTACAAGTAAAATGAATTGAAATTCAGACATTCATATTACTGAAAAAAGTGTATATTTGTCTAACTAGAATATTGAATGCATTATAACAATCTTTTAATGTTAAATGCTCAAGCTCTTTAAGTCTGCTGCATTCTGATTGGCTGTCAGTGTTTTCATCATTCATCAGCTGGAAATAAATTATGAAGGTGATCCCAATAATAGTGGCGTTCCTGCATTATGTGGGCTTCGCCATTCTCATAGAATTAGAGCGATTATTCAAAATTCATAGTTATGGTATTTATTTATCCTTGGTGTGAACAGGCCTTAGTTTTCTTACAGTACTAGATGATGAAAAATCCCAAAAGTCCCAGATTGCCATTGAAAAATGATTAATTGTAATTACATCGATAATAATTAGACATGTAGTCTACTTTCAATCTACATCCACAAACTTGGTTCAGACCTGCAGCCTGTTCTAAATTGATTTTAGTAATCAGATTGAAGGTTTTTCCATAACTGACATTCAAATATGTCAAAGTTTCCATAGATAGATGAGCTATCTGTCTTTCTGACTGCAAGGTCTAGTCTATGTACCCTTCGAATTATGACCTTTAAGCTTTTACCAGTATTTATCAAGCCGACATGCTCTTCACCGTGACCAAAAGTGGCGCTAAAGTAGAATTTATTTGGCTGAAAAATATAGCGGCCATCATTGACAAAGAACTTTGACTGGTTTAATAAATCAAACTGAAAATACAACACCATGAACTTTTTAACTTTGGTTTTGGTAAAACTACCTGTTATTAGCATCTTTAAGCAACTTCTTTTTTTACATTTGCTATTACCAGATTAGTCACAATAAAGTCCCTAATGAAACAACTTTTTAATTGTGTGATGAGTTGCATTAAAGATTTCTCTCTATTTTCCCTCTCTTTTAGTTGACTCACCCAGTCACCTTAAATGTGGGAGGTCAACTCTACACGACTTCTATCTCCACTCTTCAGCGTTACCCCGATTCCATGCTGGGCGCCATGTTCCGCGGCGACTTCCCCACCACGCGGGACGCTCAAGGAAACTACTTCATCGATCGGGATGGGACGCTTTTTCGCTACATATTAAACTTCCTGCGCACATCCGAGCTCACTCTTCCTGTTGACTTCATGGAGACCGACCTTCTGCGTAAAGAAGCTGACTTCTATCAGATTGAGCCTTTAATCCAATGCCTCAGTGACCCAAAACCTCTGTACCCACTGGACACGTTTGAGCAGGTGGTGGAGTTGTCCAGCACCCGTAAGCTGTCTAAGTACTCAAACCCTGTAGCGGTTATTATCACGCAACTAACCATAACCACGAAGGTCCACTCGCTGCTTGAGGGAATATCCAACAGCTTTACCAAGTGGAACAAACACATGATGGACACCAGAGACTGTCAGGTGTCTTTCACCTTTGGACCTTGTGACCACCATCAAGAGGTGTCTCTAAGGGTCCACCTCATGGACTACATCACCAAACAGGGATTCACGATTCGGAACACACGGGTGCACCACATGAGTGAGCGTGCCAATGAGAACACAGTGGAGCATCACTGGACTTTCTGCCGGCCTGCATATAAAGTAGAAGACTGACCCATTTATGAATGTGGTGCCATTTCAAATGTGGTTGCTGCTGTTTTCAGTGTGATGTTTTAATAGGTATTTCATTGTCAGTTGAGGCCAAGCAAAAAAAAAAAGGAAAGGAATGATATTAAAATGATATATGATATAAATGCATATAAAGATGGCACTCAAGCAATATTCAATAATATATGAACATCTTGACCATGTAAAAAAAAAATCACTCACCAGAAAATGTTTCAGGTATTTATTCATTCATTCCATCAGATGAGAAATCTGCCAAACATTGTGCACTATGTGCAACATCGACATTTTAGTGTGCATGTATTTCTAACACATTCTATGTATTAAATGTCCACATGCTCTACATGGAAATACATTTTACTGATTTGTTTCATCAGTTTCATTTAAGAAGGGGAAAAACATGAGCAACCTCAACAACAGCTAATTGTCTCAGTTTATTCTACTGAGAGTGCTTGATAATATAAATCATCGAGAGGCTCTTGTCAAAGTTAAATTGTTATAATATAGTTTAACATTTACATATAAATATATATATATATATATATAGTTAAAATATATGTAAATATTTATATTCAAATGTTTACCTATATTATAAAAACAACATCAACATGAGCTCAAGGAAAGCTGTGTGTGTGATTAAACACTTTTTAACCTTATACCAGTGAGTGAGTAAACCCAATTCAAAAGACTGTATGAAAAGAAGACGGTTCCCTCTCTTATATCAGATTTGGTATAGTCCTGCCAGCGGACCTATTAGAACACACTATTAACCATGACGTTTACGCCGCCATGTTTTGCGAAGCTGTTGGTTACATGCGCCAAGAACAAGATCAGTGTTAAAGGGCACAACTGTTCAGATGTTGTATTCTAGTGTTTAAATCCAAATTTTATTAGTTCATATTATTGCGCTGTGCTTTAGAAGTATCTAGCTGGTAGGCTAATTGTGTTTTAAAGAAAAGGATGTTAAAAAAAAGTCGGAACCTAAAATATATTTTAAGTCTTGTTCCTGGAAAAAGACGTTTTGGAACGTACAGATTTTTGCCCTTGTTCTTCTGTATCGGGGGTGTCATGGAGTGGATCATGATTAACGTGAGAATAGGACGAGAAACATTTTGTAAGTATGTTAAGTCATCTTATGTAGATATATAAGTTACACGTCCTGCCCCTCTTTGAAGCGTTTCTGTGCATCCTTCTGCGTCCCGCACTGCTCGTGCTAATAAAACGTGAATGATGATTTACTCATTTTACTGAAATCTAAAGACTATTTTTCACTATTGGGCTGTTTTAACTGAAAGCGACTTACACTGACATCTCAAAATATGTCAGTGTCATTGTTTTGTATAGATTCACCAGTAATGTTTTTTATGGCAAGTTAATAAAAGCTTAATTTAACTAAAACCTAATCAAAAACCATATAAATTACTATTTATTCTGTATATTATTGGTTATTGTTGTAGATTAGTGGTAACATTATTTTCTGTCCCGACAGATGATGTCTACAGAAGAAAACAATCGGAGAGGGAATACCAAAACAAGATTGATGAGGGCTTGATTGTGCTCACAGAGTCTGAAGCCAAATGAGATCATCACAACACACTGGAAATACATGATCGTCATGATAAAGAGACTGAAATTTGACACTTTTGCACTTACACACTTGATATCAATGAAAAATGGGGATACTATAATATATATCAACTGTAAGCAGCTGTGACAGGGACAGCTGTGACAGATGTGGTGCAAAAGACTGTGTTTCTGTACAGAAGATTGCAATTTTTGTATTGAGTAAGATAAAGATGGTTATTTATGCAATACAAGTTATCTGTCCTGTGATTCTTAACCAATACACTTTGGAAGCCTGTTTCAACTACAAATGAGTAAAACTATGATTTTGTAAGTCATAATAAAGAGAAATGAATCTCATAACTATGAGTAAGTGGTTTAGTTTCACAGATAGGGCTTGAAAGGATTAGGCCTTGAATTGGGACATTTTGTGTGAAACCTAGACAAAACAATGACACTGTCATGTTTTAAGATCACTTTCAGTTAAAACAGCTCAAACATGTATTTTTTTTTACAAGACTTTTCTGTGAAACTGGGGGTGAATCTTATTGTATTGAGAAAAGCTCTCATATTAATGACTTGGTATAAAATAATGATCTCAAATCATGTATCTCAAAATATTGAAAAAGACCTAGGCTAATTATGAGTAAATATGTCATAAATACAGGAAAAAAAATCGAATAATTTAGTGTATTGTAATTCAAATTCTTGTGTAGCCTATAATAAAAAATGAATAATTATGACTTGGTATATCGTAAATATATATATATATATATATATATATATATATATATATATATATATATATATATATATCATAATAGGGAAAAACTTTAACAAAAACTGAAAAACAAAAACTAGTTAAGGTCATAATATCTAAAAAAAATAATGACATCTCATAATGAAGAGAATTACTCATAATAATGACTTGCTGACAAACTTTCTTGTAATGACTTTCTCATTATTATGCGATGTTAAGAAAATTATAATATAATTACACTGTAAAAAATATTTTCATGTTTTGTAATCACAACATTTTTTCTTTTGTCAAATCAACTTAGATAATTGATGTAGTTCAGATAACAGAATATTTTGAGTTGCTGATGATTAAATCAATCTCCTTCATTGTATTAACTTTAAATTTTTCCATTTCATTGAACTTAAAATTTTAAGGCAACCAGGTTACACAACATTTGTCAGTATAATGAGAAGCTAAGCCATAATTATCAAAGTTCTCATTATTGTTGCTTACAGATTTTTTTGTGTTTTTTTTCTTTTCTTTTTTTTACTTTTAAAAGTGTGGTCAGTTGTAGTAGCCTATAAGTGCCATTTGAAAGTAAGTTTGTCATGATGATAAAGTCTAAAATTTATATTTCTATCATTATTTCATTCATTATTTTTGAAACCTGTCATATTAAAACATGTTGAGTAACCTCTGAGAAGTTTTGAGAACCTCTTGTTTTGTAAACAAGCCTTCTTTAAATGTTTTGAAATGATTAGGCATTATTAATTAAGGCATCTTTGAGGTTTGCCAGGCCGAGTGTCCTGTTTTTTGTGTTGTTTTTTTTATTTTTTATTATTGTAATCAAAATATGGTAACCCATACCGAACTTGTCCTTTAAATTGTGAATGTGCTGTCTCATAACAGCAGCAGTTGCCCGTTGGACGATCTTAAAGGGTCACTTCACCCATTTGCATTAAGCTTTGTATCTTTAGAAACCCAGTCATATTTTTGAATGGTCATGGTTTATTCCCTTATTTTCCCCTGAGATGGGAGAAATAAGGATTTAAGTGTTTTATTTCCTGCTTATCGTGACGTAAAAATCGTCATTTTGCGTCACGATAAGCAGGAAGTCACATTTCATTGAAATGTCAACAGACTACAATGATTGGCTCATTATTATTCAAGGGTGTGGCACCCATTCACCCACAGGCCTATTACAGATCAGTGGGTGGGACTTCACTTGCAGAAACTGAAATCAATATCCGCCATCTTGTTTGGAAGCTAAGCTAACAAGCCCTGTGGAGATATGAAGTTATGATAATGAAAGAAACTAAACATGATATGGAAGAAGAGGGTTTTGAAAGTCTGCTGCTCGAATCCGATGTTCGTGGCTATCTTTACGAGCTGCAGTATAGTTTAGAGCAGCTGAGGCTGATGGAGGAGCAGGAGACGCCTGGCTGTCGGTCGAGACGCCCGGACTGGGTCGAGTTCGGCGGCCTGCTGTTGCTTGTACTCTCGCTGCGTGTCACGGCCTACGGAAACAGAGTCCGTCTGCTGCAGAGAATTTCAACGATGGCAATTTCTCCTGGAGGAAATCTCTGAATCAGACGAGCACACGGACGTTTGTGTTTTGATAGTTTCGCCTTCAGAACATCCAGGTATCATGCAGTAATTCACCATACAGAAAAAAATACAAACGCGGAGTAATTCACTAACGTTAATGTGTTTACAAATGTAACGTGAACGGGGTTTAATGTTGTGGGAAGAAAGAGGCATGAACCGGCGAACATTTAAACATTTTAATAGTAAAATGAACAAATACAAAACGAAAGTAAGCCAGCGTTACACACAACAGAAACAAAACATAAAATCAGGCCTGTTTCTCTCTCGATCTGCCGTCGTCGCTCCCCATTTTATGCATTCGCTCCTTCTATTCGGGAGAGACGCACCGGCGCGCGCCGTTACAGGTGTCTTTCATTATCACTCACGCCACCGGCCTCGCGCAGCGCGCCATCCTCTTACATCCCTCGCACTCGATCGTCCTGCTCGCCACAGCCAACTAACTAGACATTTTGTTTGAAATGAATTTCAAACTCTTACTCTGGTAACAGCTAATGTTAGCGTTGTAGACGGAAGAGTGTGTTTGCGTCTCTGTTTGCGCTGTTCCGGTGGGTGGGTTAGTGGGTGTGTCTTGCGGAGCTGTGCAATGTTGGGGAATTCTGGGAACTGTAGTTTTTTAACACAAAGGCGCCCCTTGGTTATTTTTCTGTCTTTTCTCAGTCAAGAGGGCACTAAATTAAAAAATGATTTTACATTTCGACTACATATTTTCAATAAAGATTAATGTTGCAATGGGTGAAATGCTCCTTTAAGGAACATTTTATCTTCTTCTTCTTCTAAGAGCATTACTTATAGTGTCCAATCGGCAGAGATCTCAGACAGATGAAGCTGTTGGGATGTTGGGCCAGAGTTATCGGGTTTCCATCGAGCCGAACCTCCTGCATGTTGTACCTGATGTAGTGCGTGTTGTTTCCTTTGCAGAACGCGTCATCCGTCAGTGACGTTATGTTGTTGTTCTGAAAACGATAATCGATTTTAAAAGTATCCATACATGTAGGGACACACAGTAAATACTACAGTAAATGTATTTAGACTATAAATGACCGTACATGTAGATGAACCACACGAAGACTTTCCGGCAGCGGTGGGACGGCCTCCAGCCCGTTGTCTCCAAGGTACAGGTACGCCAGCTTGCTAAGTTTCTAATGCAAAAGATAGACCCCAGTCATGATGAATAAGACAACAATGTATTGATAAGATTTCAGAATCTTTATTTTATTATTTTTACCTTGAAAATGTTTGCTTTCACTCCCTTTGTTCTAAGTAGATTGTGGTTGACATTGAGATACAAAAGTTTAGCTGGCAGCATTGGGAGCTTGACCAGCTTGTTCTCAGCGAGCGTTAGTTCCTCGAGCTGATCGAGTTTAGAAAAGGCGCCATCTTCTATCTCAGAGATGAGGTTGCCAGACAGGTCAATTCTTCTCAGCGTGGCTTTGAAAACAACACAATATGGACGAATCATCCCAGCTATCAGGGAAAGTTCTCTGAACTAAAAGTTCGTTCAAAGTTCTGGTTAATGTTCTCAAAACAGCTCAAGCATTATATAGTCCATGGAACTTTCCCCCTCCAAAAACGTGTAGTAAGATTTTTTAAATGTTAGCTACTAGTATTTGTTTAAAAAAATATAGCAAGCATTGAGAGGTGACTTTTCCATTATGTTTGAAGAATGATAAAATGAAATGTTCCCTGACCAGTCGCATGTTTTTAAAACATTTGCTTGAAAACATTCAGGGAATCTTCTTAATAATTTTATAGGCTACTTTTATGGGAATTTTTGGAAAATGTTCTTATAAGAACATCATGTTAGCGGGGATATACACAATTGGACATTACAATGGGGGTGCAACTGAACATAGACATCTTTATTATTTACTCACCCACCCTCATGCTGTTCCAAACCTATTTAACTTCTGTGGAACATAAAAGAATAGTGTTGTTTTATTCATAGACTTTTAAAAATAAAGGTTCCAAAAAGGGCTTTTTGACCCTTTCAATGAACAGTTCTAAAAATATTTTCTTAGTATGAAGAACATTTTATCTGGAGAACTATTTTCCATTAAAAAATAACCTTTTATGCATGACAAGGTTCCATGGAAGTTAAAAGTTCTTAATGGAAAATAGTTGCTAATAAAAAAAATTCAGCATGCAATCAGCATGAGAGGAGGCTTATAGAGCCATCTACGTAACTTCTGTCCCATGACAGTTTTCCAGCATCCTTCTACCACCCCAACTCCTCCTTCTCGATTATTCCTATCCCAGCTAAGGATAGGGGGGAGTAACCTACTCTGGGTTCAGGCCAAATTTCGAGCTCAGAGCCCTCTGCTCGGACAACACTATACGCATATTCTGATTATGTAAGTGTGAACCAAGTCAACGAGGTCCAAATTTCCAATAAAAGAAAGTCACAGGACTTTTTAGATTGACATGAGGGTGAGTAAATCATGACAGCATTTTCATTTTTGGGTGAACTATGCCTTTAAATGCACAAAACCCTCTAGATGTCTCCCCTTCTACCAGTGACTCCAAGGGACCTTTCTCAGGTCTGTGTCTGTTCTAGTCTTTTCATAGTCTTAAGGAAAATTTCACTCAGTTGGTCTGATTACATTTATCCGGTTCCAATCATTACACAGTGTGTTTTTGGTGGAAACACCCAAAAGCTTTTCTAGCATCCCTTCTTACCAATATCAGCAAAGTCTTTGTTGGTAATTTTAGTGATTTTGTTGAAGCGCGCATAGAAGTAAGCCGTTTCCTTTGGCAGTGGTGGAACTGTTGTCATGTCAGGAGAAACCTCCTCACAATATACTGATCCAATTAGACACACACACTGCAGGCAAGTGGGAAGTTCTGAAAAATAAAATGAAAATAGAAATAAATAGGCTAAAATATTATTTTTGATCAAATGAGTGCAAAATAAAATTAAAGAATAAATACCCATGTCATCTTTATCATCTGCTCCTGGACTTTCGTCATCTTTATCAGCTGGACTATCATAGTCTGGGCTAAGAATGACCTTTTTCTAGATTAAAGCAGATTACAAGAAAATTATTTTGTTTCTTCTCATCAACACGTTCAACCACTTCGCATGCTATTTTGCCTTTCCCTGTTCCCATAACTTGCCAATTGTGCTGCTTTCCATTGGACATAATCCCATTATGGATTTAACAGGTTTTCCATTGCATAGCTACCTTTCTTAGAACAGATTTATGATAATCTGGCATTCTGATTATATATATTATTCATTTTAGCCAACAAAAACATATATGTTAAGCAAAATTCTATATTTGAAGATGACAATGTTTACATATTTATTTGTGCATTATCAGCATTAAATTGTCATACCTTTGGTTTCTTGACTTCCATGACAACTCTACTCTCTATGATCAATTCTTCATCATCTACTGTTTTCAATATCCCTTTGTGTTTAGGGACCATTTTATTGGTTCTAGCCATATCACAAAATATCCATGGCATGGTCACGAAAAAGAGTAAAATCCTCAAATCCATCATCTTGTGAGGAGAAACAGTTGTTGTCCTGTGTGAAGAGCAGCGCAGTGTGTCACAGCCTCTGAGTAAAATGAGACCTTTTAAAGAGTTCCTCTGCAGTGACTGCCTGTGAACCATTAAAAAACAATTCATGAAACTGGAGTTAACCCACTCTGTGCTGTCCTAAGGTTATTTAATGGATCACTCGCCCCCATTCCTGTCAAAATAAACTGTAGTGAAGATGTTTTATTGATTGGTATAATCCATTTCATGTCCATATGCATGTGTTTTGAAATATTGCTTAAAGGGAGTAAAGTGGCTAAAAACACTTTGAAATTGATATATTTTTGCTGTCTTCTTGTAAATGCGCATGATCTTACAATAACATTTGAGACCTGCAGACCTGCAAGACATTTTCAGGGAACACTGGGATCCTGAAAATAAAGGGAAATATAGGGGAAAGAACAGTTCTGGCTATGGAAATCAAGGATGGAGTTCAACAGGATATTACTATTAGTTCTGGAATCTTGGACGGCATTTTTGAAATGGTGAACTTTTAAAACTCGTCATGTGAGTTAAGATTATGAAACGAGTGTTGTCCATCTCTATGTGACATTCAAATGCTTTATTGTTAGAAATGATATGGTAGGTATCAGGGGATGGATTGACAGAAGACGAGAAAACCTTTTGTTCCCCTGTTCTTGATTAAGCCAAAAGATTTCCTGATTTGGGCGAGAGAAATAACAATGCATGACAAAGTGCTGTGAAATAGATTTCAGACAGCATTCAGTTGATATGCTGAATGATGTACATAACTTCACCTTCTTTATCTCGAGTCGATGAAGTGAGAAAGATCTGATGGCTTTACCAGTGATCCTCTGGATTTGGAGCACTTATGGAGGACTGCCTGTTTTCATCAGAGTGATAACCTGGGAGAAGAATTTGCCAGGTGTTGAGACAAATGCATTCCAAGACTTTAAAAACATACTTCCTCGACCTCCCTCTGGGTGCCGTTACTTAACCTGATGGGACGTAGGATGAAACCTAGACATACTCTATCAGGCAAAATATATTCGAAATTGCACAGGGCCTAACAGTGAAGGTACCTGGAAAATCCTTTTTGATGGAGCTTATGATCCTTCGGGTGAGACGTGAAATCGGGGTCCTGACATGTGGTCACTAAAAAATCCCAGGATGTCTTTGGAAGAGTAGGGTTGTAACCTGGCTCAAATTTGCCCCTTGGCTTCTGTCCATCATGGCCTCCTAATCATCCCCATATACTGAGGGCTCTATCACTCTGTCTCCTCTCCACCAATAAGCTGGTGCGTGGTGGGCGTTCTGGCACAATATGTACCTACCCATTATCCACCCCCTGATCCCTAATCCCACCCCAAATCCTACCCACCTCAACCCCTTAGATCTGGATCCAACTCCTCCCCCTAGATCTGGTGTACTGCAATGAGGTGCTACTGAATATATCGGGCCTTAAAGGGGACATATCATGCTAAATTCACTTTTTTAGCCCGTAAATGCATGTTGTTGTATATTTGGAATGTTTATAGGTACAGAAAAGTTGAAATTATTCTCTTCAGGTGCTTCGTTTATATCTTTATATTCTGTTTAGGTTATATTGTGCAACCTGTTCCTATTTTTCTGTTCTCTATGACGTGTTTTGAACAATTACGTCACATCATTTGCAGCTGAACTGCCAAATAAGGACATTGACTACCGGCCCAAGACTCTGAGTTATCCACCATTTTTATTTCTCACTCTGATTTTGTAGTCCAAGCTCAAAGATGCAGAAGTTACGAGAGGGTCTGTCAAAATGTTCGGTTGTTGGATGTAGTGACACACACGCTTCATTACACCGTCTCCCAGCATCAGAACCTCTCTGAAGTGCCTGGTTGAGTTTTATTTATTAAGGAAATGTGCCCGCATCTGTGGGTAAAGTCATTTTTCGTGTGCGCAAAGCACTTCAAGGATTCCAACTTCAACAACCTACGCCAGTATAAAGAAGGGTTTGCCGATTGACTTCGTCTGAATGAGGGGTCAATTCCTTCTTTGGAGAAGACGAACAGAGCATGTCGATAAGCTGTAATGTTAGTTTACTTTCTTAAAACACATGGTGGTCATGGTTTAGCAGTACCTTTGTCTTTCTTTGTTTTTGTTTTGAAGTAACATTACACATCTGCGGTATTATTGTTCTTGAGTTTCATCGTGACAATGGTCATTTAGCTGCTGTGTTTTCTTATGCTTTTCTAAACGTATCATAATTATCAATATAGATTTCTAGACCGTAGTCATTTATCTTGTTAGTGTGCTTGTTTTAACAAGAGAAATAATAAATTTTCACTTCATCTTTTTCAACTCACTCGCTCTGGCTCGAAGATGTAAGGCTTGATGGACAAGTCTTCCGTTGTTGACATTTTGTTGACGTGTGAATAAAAATGTTCTGTGACGCTATATAATCGTATATCTCTAATCAAACTACAAAAATGGCCGAACGGGGTGGAGTTGAACCGAGTGTGAACTCAGCGACCTGGAGAGTGGGCGGGGTGTGACACATCTCATTTGCATTTAAAGAGACAATCAACTCAAAAACGAGTTGATCAGACGCACATCAGAAAAGGGGTAGAATAGGGGCCTGTGGAGCTATAGTAATGAGGAATTCAGACCCAAGCATTGCAGTTTCGCTTTATATAGACCACAAATGTATGATTTATATGTAAAAAGGAACTATTTAAAAGCATTATATTAGGTAACCTTTAAAGGTCTCATTTGGGGTAAAAGGCCCTTTTAAAGTTTTCTTTGCTCCTAAAACACTAAATAGCAACAAAATATCTACATTATCTTGTATATTTTAAAAGTATGATTTCCTAAACACCAGTTTATCATCATGCATATGTTATTTTAGTATGACTATCTATTATTTATTTTTTGTTTTCATTTTAGTTTAATTTTTAGCCATTTTGTCATCTGCTTTTGTCATTTTTATTAGATTTTTTTAAATGTTTTGATTTGCCTTTAATTTATACTTATTTCAGTTTTAGCGATTTTGTACTTCAGTACCTATTTAAATTTAAGTTTTTAATCTAATAGTTCTTTAATAGTTCTAGTTTTGGTTAACAATAATAGCACTGTTATGCATGGTAAAACTGTCTTCATTCAGTAACTTTCTGAAATGACATTTGCTTTTGAGTTAATTTTTAATATGTGAACTTTTATTGTTTCCTTTCTTTTGTTTAATAAACAAATATTTAATTTAATAAAGAGGTTAATATAGTAAGTAGAAATGTTACTTATAAAATATTATATCATATGTATTTGCCATGTGTCACAATTGTGCCGCACGGGCCTTTTGTCTTCATTTATCTTCTCCATTTATTTTTACACAAATTATGCTTTTCCATTCATTTTACATTGCCCATAATCCAAAATTGTGCTTGTGGACATATGTAGGATTCAACGTTAATGCTCCACATTCAGTTACTCTTTTAATGTTTTACACAAGTGCAGAATTTACATAGAGAGAGGGTTTCAAAATCTCTCAAAACAGAGACTCTTCCATTATCTTCAACTCTTTTAATCAATTCGATTGTCTGGTTTTCAGTTTCTACTTCCTGTTGGCTGATGAATCTGTGGAGGAGGCACTTTTAAGCTGTGACGGTGAGGACTTGTAGAGAACACAAGTGGATCCATCCTCACCAATCCGATAGGACACCTCTGAAGGGTCCACCCACAGGGTCAGCTCTATTGGAAGTGATGAGAAAAGCTGCTCTTGTGCAAGTCCAACAGCAGAGGCTGCTTTTCCTATGAGAGGGTCCATTTTACGGTTGATCCGTAAACATCTGTAGCCAGAACCTCTGCAGGGAGCATGAGGAAACCAATGCTGCTGATAGTACTCTAGAAGAGAGACATGATATCAGGTGAAACTGCATACAATAGCTTGCATACTGAAACTTAAAATACATATAAAGTAAAAAAAAATGAATGCATTTTATTATTATTTATCATGAAAAATACAATGGGTTATTCAAAAGAATATTCCTGATGCCATCTGTTTACAATTAATTATAAAAATACTCGGAGGCGTGTGAGAAAAGCAGGTCAGTTGTCTCACCTATCAGCGCATCAGTGAGTGTGTGAGTGAAGAGCTGCAGCTGATCTACAGTGAGAGACACACTGCTGCTGCTTCTGCTCAGTAAACCACTGATGAAAGTAGCAGCGACTGACACCTCTGTTTTCATTATATTTTCAGCGAGCATATGTTCCTCGCGGAAAAAGTGTCTGTGGAAACAAATAAAGGTCAATTATGTGGAACTCTACAAATTCAGTTATTTATCTTAACAAAATTGCAAATAACTTCAACGACACAAAACACTAACTTATTTATTTGTACCGACGAACTAAAACAGATATTCAGTTTAAACTAGAATATTAGCTACATTAATTGTTTGGAGGACGGACAAATATATTACTGAGAGTAAAATTACAAACGAACTATAGAGACAGTTACGTCATAGGGTAGGATTAGCGCGCTTCTCTAGCGCCATCGCTTGACAGATCAGCAGTCACGTGACTTGAGCAGTCAGAGATTTCACAACCAGTTTGCTTGTGGTTTTAAAGAGTTAGTTCCCCCCGAAACGAACATTTTGTCATTATTTACTCACCACCCTCATGTTGTTCCAACCCTGTATGAGTTTCTTTCTTTTGCTGAACACAAAATAAGATATTTTAAAGAATGTCGTATACAATATATAATATATATATTTGAATATATTATATGTTGAATATATGTACAATATATATAATGTAATGTATATATAATGTATTGCAATGTGCGCTAAATGGAGCTGGTGGCACATTTATTGTTCACTGAAAGCATACTCAAATTATCCAAAATACTTATAAACAAACATGTGTGGGGTGGGTATGTGTGATTACATGCATATCAGATCTGTGGATATCTGCAGTTTTCTGAGGAATTCTGGGTGTTTAGATGCCACCATTTTATTTTGTGAAGCAAGAGTTCGCTGAATACTGTGCAATGTTGAATATTGTGCATGTATATTTATCTTGCACAATAGGTAACTGCACAAGTAACTACATATTTCACAAGGAATATTTATTTTATTTATTTATTTTCAACCAGTATTGATTACTTTTTAATCAATGAGTAACTCTGCTGGAATTTGACACACTCATTGATTTAAAAGCGTTATGTTATGTTTGCTTGGTAGCTGCAGACACTCATGCAACTTTACTTAAGCAACTATGATGTTGTCATGTTAGACTGTTGAGTAAAAGCAAACTAGAAAGACGAGAAGAGAATTAAAACATTATACACCACATAATTCTGTTTTGCACGCATATGTATTGTATTTATCTCTAGTGCAGGGAGTGTAAGCCCCACACTCCTCCTCATACTTTAGCAAGAAAAGCTCCTCCCTTTGTCCACAAATAGCAAAGCAGAGGGTGTGTCCTCAGACTTCCTGAGTATAATAACACAAGTGGAAAAGTCTTCAGCTGTGAAAGGGAAAGAAAAGAGAGAACTGCATTGTTGAAGCAAAACCCAGCACATTTCAAATGAGGTAAGGAAGTCTGCTTTTGAGTTTATTAATATGCGGCCACAGTTTGTGAGCATGTGGTTGTTACAAACATGTTGTAGCTGGTAGGCAAATATAGGAAAGTTCTTTGTTGTAAGCTGTTAAAAAATTCTAGACCTCACAGATCATGTTTCAACCTGTTATCTGCACTCTGGATTACTTCTAACAACACCATTGGCTATTTACTTACACATCCTGATCAATGACACAGTCTATCATTACAGTAGGTGTTAACTGTCACAGTCAACACTTTGTTAATCAGTCTTTCAATGGAAAATCTAATTGATTTTGTGTCTTCAAATTCATCAAACCTGATAAATTGTTATTGTCTTTGTATGTTTTTACTTGTTTTAGTTAGACCAGTGACCTTTTGGGGATAGGAATGGGGAAATTAGTTAATATTTGACCAAAAAAATATCCTCAAAACATCTAAAAAGTTAGAAGAAATAGAATTTTCCATACCACAAACCACAATCATATGATGAAATATTACTCATCAGTTCCAGGATTACTTTTTTCAATAACTGTAAGTCTGTAACAGAACATTCAAATTAGGATTTTTTAGCTATATTTCATGAAAATAAAATATTAATTATGGTCTTTTATTCTCCATTGTCCTGCATCTACATTATTTTTATTTGTTTCTACACTTCTGCAGTATCTATTCCTGTTAATATAACATTTGAAGGCTGTTCTTCTTTCCCATTGCATTGTGAAGCTATATCTACAAAAGGTCTTTCTCTCACTCTTTACCTGCAGGATGACCAGCAGACTGTTCCTCTTCACCTTCTTCATCCTCTCTGGCTCGCTGACCTGCTATGGCTTCAGAATTTGTGCCTTTAATGTTCAGAGTTTTGGTGATTCAAAATCAGCCAATCCCAAAATCATGAATTCTATATCACGGGTAAGAGGATGAATACTACAATGTTTTTTACTTATTATTTGAAATATATAATACATGTCAAAATGTGTACTGTTTTATTCTTTCTTGCAGATTGTATCCCGTTGTGACATATGTTTACTCCAGGAGGTCAGAGATCAGAAAAATAAAGCCATCCCACGCCTGCTTGATGCAGTCAACAGGTAAACAATATGAAATATGAACTCAAAGTGTAACAAATCAGATTTAAGAGAAAAACAAATAGTGCATAAATGCTGTTACTTTATATTTTGTTTCCAGGCTTAATAGTAATGATTATGGCTATGTGGCAAGTGGACGTCTCGGGAGAACACAAACGTATCAGGAGCAATACGTTTTTTTTTACAGGTATGTGTTTAGCACTTCTGTACATTAGGACAATATGTAAAGGCTAAGGATGCACATGATATTGGGAAAATGTTTATTATCAGCGGATATGTTGATTTATTAGCAGTGTTGGGGAAAGTAATGTATTACAATATTGCGTTACTCCCAGAAAAATGAACTAACTGCGTTACTTTTTATGGACATTATTGTGTTATACCTTTGCATTACTTTTTCTTATCTGGGCTGGGCTTGCTTGTTTCTTTTTTAACCCTAACCCAAATTCATGCATGTGCAGAGGCAAACAGACCTTTCAGATGTGCTGCCATTTTGGTTTGCAGAAGAATAAGTTTGACACTCTTACTTCAGCGATAAAAAATAAATACATAAAAAACACATGTGATATTTATTCAAAGTAATTTTTGCATATTAGTATGGTTGAACTGGGTCACAGAAGACGTTCATCCCTCATCCACATAACACAAAATAGCTTAGAATTTGACTATGTTTATCAGTTATCAAGCATAAAACAATAAACAATTATTGGCTTATGATTATTGGTGCATCCTTAGATAGAGTGTTGTTAATATTAGATGTTTCTTTACGAGAGATAAGGTACAGCATGTCTTGCTGCATTACTTTCATTAATACAAATATATTCTTGATCACCACAACTGTTTTTCCCCAGGCCTTATAACATATACACTAGACAAATACACTAGACGGGGTTCTAAGCATGCCATCTTGGAACAGGGGTCTTGTCATAGGAAGTAACTAGGTAACGCTACCTTCTTTGCCTTTAATTCAAATTAATTGATGGTGGCGGACTTTTGTGCTGTGTATGATGTTCACACGAATGAAATCTGAATCTAGGAAGAATGTTTAAAAAAAAAAATTCGGGAATCAATAATAATGATGTCTGACCGTGGGAATGAACCAAAAAAAAGAAGAAAAAAAAAAGAAAATCGCACTCATGATGATTTATGGTGTTTTTATTTACGTTAGACCTTTGTGATGCTGATGCATTAATAGTGGAGGGGCTCCCCTGTTCCAAGATGGCGGCTCTATTGATGTATTCGTTCGAATGAACTGCCGTAGCCAAGGCGACATCTAGTGTATATTTCTATGGCCTTACAAGATAAGCTTCCTGATTTCATTTCCCCCCCTCATACAGGAAAAGCACAGCGAAGCTGAAACAGCAGTATCAGTATCCAGATACGCAGATAGGGGATGTTGATGCTTTCTCCAGAGAACCCTTTGTGGTACATTTTCAAGCCCCTAAAACAGGTCAAATTTAAAAAAAGGACAACTTGCTCACTGAATTTATTCAAAGACACACCATTGTAAGCTGAAGTTTGATGATTTTGATCATGATCTGATAATGTCTCTATTAACAGTGGCCAAGGAGTTTGTCTTGATTCCACAGCACACTACTCCTTCAAATGCCACCAAAGAGATTGATGAACTTTACGATGTCTTTGTGGATGTCAGAGAGCGTTGGAAAATTGAGGTGTGGTGATGATTTTTTCTATATTATATAGAGCCTCATTTCTTGAGATCAAGTCTTAAACCTTGCTTTTTTTGTCATCTTGCCAGAATGTGATGTTCCTCGGGGACTTCAATGCAGCTTGTGGTTACGTGGCTAAAAAGAACCGGAAGAACATCAGGCTCTTATCTGACCCGTCTTTCATCTGGCTGATTCAGGATAACGTGGACACTACGGTGAAACAGTCGACTGACTGTGCATACGACAGGTATGCCAGCAAAATGCTCATATTAGCATAATATGCTTATGATTTGCATTTAGACATGGCATGATGATTCATATTTATGGCTATAATCCACAGAATTGTTGTGCACGGAGAGCCATTTCTCAGAACAATTGAACCGTTTTCAGCAAAACCATTCGATTTTCCTAAGGAATTACATCTTACAGAGGCTCAGGTAAGCCAAATTCAGCATTTACTGTTATTTTGTGCATTTTCATATCACTGAACTTCGGATTGTCTGTTATAGGCTTTAGAAGTAAGTGATCACTACCCCATCGAGGTGGTCCTCAAGACTCAGAAATCAGGGGTTTCCACAAGAAGCAGCAGAGAATCATGTCTTTTACCTACAGTGTTTGTGCTGAATGTCTTACTGATGCTGCAGATGATCATATGAACACAAATCAACCACGAGTGGATTCTTCATCTCACCTAAATGAAGACTTTACTTGGCTGTTACACAGTTGCTATGTACTTGAGCTCATACTGAGCCAACAACTGCATCTACAAAATGTGTTGCCGATTAGTGGACGCGACTAAATATTTTTTTTACAGCTTCTAGAAATTGATAAACATGGATTTTCTGGCTCAGGTTGTATATTTCAGATGGCATTTGTTTTTGATAGTATTAGATTTCTCATTTATTCATGTTAAATATTTAAATTTTTCGGATAGAATTTTATTTTTGTAATAAATTGACAAACATGAATGAGTTTTCCATTCACTTGTTTCACAAGGCTATACACAATTTTAAGGTGACATGCAAAAACCTATTTTGTAACATGTAAAAACCTTGAAATCAGCTGGCTGAAAGTTATGGTCCGATAAAAAATACTTTGACTTGACACAAGCGACAAAGCTAGGCAGCCAAACGCCAGAACAATCCCATCAAGATAATCAAGATTGTATGTTAATCTAGGAGAAATCACTTTTGAATAAAACTAACTCTATCTGTATTTCCACAAATGTTTGTTATTCCCTGTATATGTATATAGTTCCACACATTTACACTAAAAAGGTATTTACTACTAACGTTCAAATCCAAGCCAGAAAAGAAAGAACCAACAAAAGAACTTTGTAAATCAAAGAATGGACTTTATTTGTGGTCAATAGAGCCTTGGTTCACACAGATGCAATGAAGCGTGTGGTGCTTAGTTGGCGTGCAGGGCCTTCCAGCGGCTCAGGGGTCCATGGCTGGGGATGTATTTCACCCCACAACCGTCGGGGATCAGACGCTTCTCTGCCAGCATGTCATCAAAGTCGACGGCATTGAACTTTGTGAAGCCATACTTCTTGGAGATGTGGATCTAAAAGGGTGAAAAATACAGTCAGACCACTTTCACACAATTAACACCTAGACCAGTAATTTAAGTCACCTAGACCAGGAAGATGAGATTCACTCAATTGGTCCAATAGGAAAATCCATCAAAAATAAGCAATGTTGTGTCTCTGTGGTCCCTTAAAAGGGCCCAGCACTGCACAGCTAGGCTCATACACATCCACAGAATTACTGTCTGCAGCCTTTGCACACCACACAAGTACAAACAACCTGTCTAGTCGGCTTAATAAGCTGCAGTCCAGACGTTCAAGTGCGTTAACAGTGGTTTTATAAAGCATTATCAAATGTCAACTCCACTGCATTTTTTTTCTCTTCTTCAGACAATTGACTTTGCATCATCTGAAGCCTTTCATAGAAGTTCCTCGCCATAGAAAACTACTTTAGTGGATGGCATCACAAGGTGTTACTGTGAGCGTACCATTCAGCAGCGAGAAGACATACAAGGTGAGCTTGTGAGAACTCACTGTAGACACATTATTTGTATATTGTTCATTTGGTTCATCACTGAAATATTTACATTCGATTTAAAGTTATGTTCAGGTCCATTATTCTCTTACGGTTTTCAGTGGCATTAGGAAGTGAAACTATTGCAGGTGTCCATTTTTAAAAACAAATCCATTTCTGATTTTAGACTAATTATCTAATATTCAGAGATGTGGTTGGTTTTCTTAGGAGAGCGTCAGATTTGAAGGGTTTGGGGAGTGGGACAAAAGTTTGATATCCACTGACCAACACATTTTTTCAACCTCATTTTAAGTACCTTCTGACGGCCAGGGAACTTGAACTTGGCTCTCCTCAGAGCCTCGATCACATGTTCCTTGTTTGAGGCCTTGGTGCGCACGGACATGATGACCTGGCCAATGCACACACGGGCCACTGTGCCCTGGGGCTTACCGAAAGCACCACGCATACCAGTCTGGAGCCTGAAGAGAAGACAAACATTACATTTACACAAACAAATTTCCAAACAGAAATAGCAATATTATGTCTCTGTGGTCCCTTTAAAGGGCCCGGCACTGCACAGCTAGGCTCATACACATCCACAGAATTACTGTCTGCAGCCTTTGCACACCACACAAGTACAAACAACCTGTCTAGTCGGCTTAATAAGCTGCAGGTAAGAGTCACACACGCTCACCTATCAGCTCCGGCACAGGACAACATTTTGTTGATGCGGATGACATGGAAAGGGTGCAGGCGCACACGGATGTGGAAACCATCTTTACCGCAGGTCTTCACCATGTACTTGTTGGCACAGATACGGGCAGCCTCAAGAGCTAGACGACAAATTGAAAATTAAAGAAAAATTAAAACTATGTATCTGTAACTATGTAAGAGCACTCTGTAATGTGCAAATATTATGATAGAAGACTCACCTTCACTGGACAGCTGTTCATACTCATCAGATACCATGTGACCGCACATGGGGAACTCATCCACCTTGGCCTTTTTCCTGCCCAAGTCGAAGATCCTGATCTTAGGATCTGAGTTTGAGAAGGACATGCTAAATCAGAACAACTCTTGAACTATATGATTGGCCATATGAAGAAATAAAAATTATTTCTAGTTAGTTCTAAATTGGGTTCCTACAATTTTGGATAAACACATTTTCTAAACGTTTTATCTAACGTCACATACTATAAGGGTTTTTAAAAGCAGATGAATTTGCAACTAAACTTCAAATAATGGTTGAATTATTCAAGACTGTCATTATGTATTGGGAGAAAGTTTAATCATACACAAAAGCAATTATTAGCAGATGAATTATGAGCTAAAATTTTATAAAAGCTAGAAAAAGTATATTAATTACAGAAACTTCGACGACTTAACAATTTTTCAGGAACAGAAAATAGCATTAAAATTCTTCTGATATTGTCTTCCATAACTTACCAGGAACACCACGACAGAAGCGGGACTTGGGGTAAGGCTTGTTCTTACAGTATCTGTAGCTGCAACAGACAATTAGCAACTCAAAACCAATGTCTCAATCAGCTTAAAAGAGGTCTGCTTAATCACAATAGCACCTAGTTATTAGAAGTACACACCTGTAATATATATATACACATATATAAAGCAAAACATCCTGCCACAGTTCGTAAATCATACAAATGCAGCACAAAGCTAAACGTCAACAGACATCAAGTGTTAAGCGCTTATTTGTAAGCTTCACTTTTAAAGATGACGGCTTTCAAATAAGAATTCACATCAAGCATAAAAAGGTAAATCTGTTTTAAGAGCACATTCGTGTTAACTGCAGGACAGCTGAAAGAGGCCGGTGTGCTGCACATGGTTAGCGGGCCCTGCCATTTTCACTAAGTACGGCCCATTCTTAAAACACTAAATTCACAACTTACCAACGGGCTGGACGGCGGCCCATGGTTGCGATCTGTAATATACGCAATAACAATAGTTTTAAAGACAAATTGTTTTATTTATGAATGAATAAACAATGCGTTTTTTCAAAGATCTACAGAGAGCGACGGAGCGCGCTCTCACCACGCACTCACCTAATGGTGGAAAGGAAGAACACTGATCTTCCGCTGCGTCATAATGCACGGCCAGAAACTACTTCCGGTTACATATTAGTGATACATTTATATTGTCTATACTTTAACCATAGTTTATATTGTGTGTGTGTGTGTGTTTTTTTTAAATCAACCGAGTAATACATATTAATTATAAGCGTATAGAAGACAACGTAGTTAGTCTGTCTGTACTGTACATCAACTGGGAAGTAGTTCTGCGCTTCCTCATATTGCTGGTATTTGTAGTCCATGAGGTTGTACCAGGAGCGTCGCTTTACAGGTTACGTACTGCACGAGCTATAAAGGAGATTTTAATATATGTATATATATGCACGGTATGTCCGGCATAAATCTTGTAAAGTTTGACTATTAGAACAAACTTAACAAAAAGAGAACTACAAATCTTCAAATGCATCCCTATCATCAATCAGTCCTGTGTGTGAAGTGAAGCTTGTGAATGCCAGAGTCTACACGACAGGTAAAAGCATTTTCCTAACCAAAAGAGTATCAAAAACAAACAGCACACGAAATCAATTAAAGAGCCAAAAATGCAATGACATAAACATGTTTTCCGTGTAAATACTGCAATAGGCCTACACGAATAGCCATAATCTTTCAGAAGCCTACCATTTGAAAGTAGTAACCTAGCCTACATGATATGGTACTGGCACACAGACACATTGGGCTAATTAAAAAATAAATAAATAAATTAAGTGTGGGAAACTCATTTTTAAAAGGCAAGTTTGGGAAACAACACTATAGTGCTGTGCTGTATCGTGTAGAAACTAAATTGTTGCCAAGTTCCGTTCATTTCCTTAGTAATATGATACACGTTAGCTTGTAAGATATGTTTACGTTAGAGAATAAAAAAATGAACTAATGTAATAATTGTTTTGTGAAATGAATTGTATGATTATTGATGTCGACGCATTTCACTTCAAAACATATGGAATCTATCACGGCAAAGAATTTCTGAAACACAAGAGGGCGACAAACACCTTCAAATGGATCAGTGGTTGCTCGCTCCACATTATCTCGAGGGAGCGCTGTTGCTTTGTGCTTCTACAGTTCGGATGTGGTAATGATAAAAATCCCTCCTGCACACTCCTAATTTTTTTTTTAGAGAGGAATGACCTCACATCTCTGAACTGTGGATAACGAGGACCAAATGCTCGGGTGGTCATTGGATCCCATTAAATCACAAATGTTTGTTCATATTCAATGTAAAAAAAGCGTGACATTACAAAAATCCTCCTTCTGCTCTAACATGTGATGGAAATGTAGAACATCAGGTCAGATGTAGATCACAAAAGCATACATCATGTAAGCACAACCAGGGGAGAGATTTTGTTCAGGCTCCAACAACGATCATTTATAAAGGAAACATCCACTCTATCTGAAGCTGAGGCCAAAGCTCTGAACAATCTGAAAAATTCCTCTGGTCTCGCTCTGTGTTCTTCAACTAACTGGGGCAAGCACACATTCTTACCTTAGATGGGCTGTGCACAGGTTAGGCCAAGTCAAATCTGCCTCCTCATTTATTTGATCTCATAAGTCTGTTCCAGAATCAGTCTAGACTGGCCAACTCCCACAGCAGCATGGAGATACGAAAAAATGTATCTGTATCAGGCACGGCATATAGGTATACAAATAGATAGCTTTAGCTAAATAAATAAAATTTCAAGAAAAAAATTCCTTTGACTGATTAAATCGATTTGTCTTGTAAGCTACATGCTAAATTTATGTTACTTATGTAGCATGACAAAAACATAATGTTTTTGTTACTCATTGGTGTATATTCAATGCAATGTTTGTTTTTTTCTTCTAGTTGTGTTTTTAGTTGCCATTGTGGTTCTCTTCATTTGCATATGAGACTTAAGTGATGGTAAACTCACTCTTCATAAGGGGTCTTTCCTCTCAGTGAACCACAAACTAGGTGTGGGTCTTCAGATACCACACCCAAAGCCTTCACACATCAGTGTAGAAGAGTTGCATGGGCTCATGTGATGCACAGCATCAACTTTTGCTTTCAAGAATGAGTTTTCACATGCCATTGTGTCTTGGCCTTGCACAGGTCTTGCGCAGTCTGCATGTGCAGGTTCTTATGCAACCTTGCTTGTGTACATGCATGTATGTGCATGGTTGAATCTGTGTGTGCTGTGCTGTCAGGTGGGGTACATCATGGTGTAATTTTAAAGCATCAAAATGTGAGGAGGAGAAGAAGAAGAAAAGGGAGAAGAAGAGCAAGTGGATTATGAAGTTAAAGAGGAATTAAAAACTATTTGAGGAAAGAGAGAACTATATAAGGGCTGGGTCAGGCATTACTCATTACCTCTGTATAAAACAAAATCAACTCGTGTGGTTTACTGCTCTTAGATGGTTTAAACTGGTCTGGTCCCTCAAACTGACCATGCTGGTGTTTAGCTGGTTTAGCTGATTGAAAAGCTGTTTTCCAAGCCTGGCCAGCAGATCTTTTCCCCCCCATGCTGCAGGATTCTTAAAATATCATTGTTGGTGTCCATTTGAAGACATTATTAATCATTTGATGATCTATTGTGGAAAAGTCGTAATTCCTGCAGGGACTGAATGGCTACTGTGATGATCTCCCCAGTGACTGATTCAGGAGAGTGGCTTGTTTTTCATCTCAATCCAAAGAAATGAAGTTTAAAGACATACTCTGTCATTTTGTTGATATCGTGCAGGTCGATGTTTGGAACATGGTATGAATAGCATCGCAAAAAAGATTGTTTAGTTACCGATCCTATTCACTGACAGCCATTATGGCTTTATTTAGTCTGATAAGTGGGGTTGTTGAGATAAAATATGAATTTTGAATGTCTTGAAAACAGAAAAAGGTAGAATCCTTAAGTTTTAACATTTAACCATTTGTCAACCTTTTTTTTTATCTCAACATGCCCCCCCCCCCCCCCATGCGATGATCCACTTCATTTAAAATAAAACAACTTTTTATTAGTATAAGTATTATCATCAATTTTAATATATATTATTTTATTTTTATATTTATCATTATTATAAATATATATTCATTTTAATTCTGAAAAACAAAAGAGACAAACAAAATTTCGTATGCTAAAGCTACTGCTATCAAATTAATCCTGTCTAATATAAAAGTTTGTAAATATATGTGTTTGTGTATACAGTATATATACACGGACATCTATATATATATATATATATTAGGGCTGTCAAACGATTAATCGTGATTAATCGCATCCAAAATAAAAGTTTGTGTTTACATAATATATGTGGGTGCACTGTGTATAATTATTTTGTATATAAATAAATATTTAGAAAAAAATATTATTTATATATAAAATATTTATATATAATATAAATTATATATAAATCTATGTACAATATATACATGAAAATATATACATGAAAATATTTCTTAAATATATACAAGCATGTGTGTGTATTATATATATATATATATATATATATATATATATATATATATATATATATATATATATATATAATTATACACAGTGCACCCTGATATATTACGTAAACATAAACTTTTATTTTGGATGAGATTAATCGCGATTAATCGTTTGACAGCCCTATGTGATTAATTGTGATTAATCGATTTGAAGGCACTAGTTAAAACTCAAGCAACATTTTTTTTCTTCAAAACTTAGTGCTTTAAAACTTTTCCATTTCCTTAGAAAGACAATATAGGTTTTAAGATAGCACTGATAAATTTGATGAGCTGGCAGATACACCATAGCATCACCTTAAACAGGAAGTGAAAATATATCCGTTACTAGGGTGATGACCACAAGTTTCTAAATAACAAAAGTCAGAAAAGCCCGCAGCTACGGTATGACACATACGTTTTCCGTCTGCCATTCTGTAGAAATCAGCAAAAACAGAAGAATTCCCTGCATTCCCTTCTCCAGCCTACTGATGTGGAGCGAGGGCTGCTCGGAGTAAACCTGTGCTGACATGTCGACTACCATAGTCATGAGATCATGTGATGTCATCCTGGGTCAGTTAAACACACATGTCATAACGGGGTATGAAGAGGCCCTGTCTTCAAGTTTCATGTTTGTTTTTTGTTTTGTTTTTTGTTCAATTGGGATGGTGGGAAAAAACTTCTATATTTCACCCTGCAGTGCTTCAAAAAAAAAAAAAAACAACAACACAATAGACAGTGAATTGTAAAAAATTAAACAAAATACACAATCAATTTTGGGGAATCCTTGTAGTGTTGTGACGTTTCGAACAGCTAACAAATGAGGGAGAATAGTAATGTTTTAAAGTTTTTCAGTCGAGAATATACTTGTTTAAAGCTCAAATCTTTATTTATAAAGATAGCACCTATTTAAAAATTTGATCTGATGTTTTCGAAGTTCCAGGTGATCACCGGGCGCTCATGTATGCCGCCTGGAACAGCCAAAACTCGGCTAGTCATTCTGAAGTTTCTCGCGGGCTCTGTGTCTAGTGGAGCCATAAATCAGCTTGTGTATATCGTACGAGCAATCTTTGGTCTCATTAATCTATGATTTGTTCCCTGGCAAATGGTTTTGCCTGAGGGCAAAGTGAAGTTTCATAACTTTCTATATTTAGGCTATTTAACTGTCCTACTCAACCCGCTCTGAGTGGGCCTCGAACCTGGAAATCCGGGATGAGAGTCAGGCACTCAAACAAGGAGGCTAAAGACTGTAACCTCTAGCGTCTGTCGCTAGAGTGCCTATTGAGATCAGAGGAGTGAGGTTTACTTGCACAGCAACTAGCTGGCATCCATTACACGCACAAGAAACGTATCATGTGCGCGCGATAGTCTTTTTTTTTATTTTTGAAAGGTAGACAGATAACTGATTGATGTAGATTAAAACTAAAAGTCTGGGACAAGGGTAAAACGCATACAAAATGTTAAGATAAAATATTGGGATGTAAAAGTGCACATAGCAGAAGAAACATCCTTTACAGACGGAAAATTTACAAACTAAATGGAAAGTATTATTTATAGAAAGTGTATACGAATGTAAATTGTGATTTGCAGATGTGTAAATCTGTGTGTAAAGAGGTGAGTGATTGTGTCATCGGTGGTGGTTAAAACAAGATAAGAACAAACATTGCTCTCCATTGTAACCTGGTTCTTGGTGTTTGGAATTGAAATTGTGAAATTTAGACAGCCGAGCCAAGTGTTACTGCTCATTGCACAATGATTTGACACGTAACAGGCATGTCTATTCTGCTCTGTCTTGCAGTCAATGTTCCCTTTATGAAGCAGCTTTATTGTTTAGTGAAAACACAGCGTATAATGAGCACGGATAAATTGATATCTGTCAATTGTTAAGCACGTCATCCTCCTGCTTTGGAATCCAGAATGAGTTACAATCCTGGAGGACAAGCGGTCTGGATTCTTGTTCAGACCGTTTCATTTGCAGTCTAATTTCTAAATCGCAGTTTCTCACTCTCATAGGCTCTCAAACACACATGAGCGGAGTCTGTTGAGGGGGGGCAGACAGTCTGAGGTCCACATATGGTGAACCAGATAAACAAACACTGCCTGCACTGCCATCTTCCACTCAAAAGTGACATCATCATCATCATTATTTATCTGCCTCAAACATCTGCTTTGGTTATTCAGGTATGAAAAGGGTGTCACTGTTTCATCCAGCTTCATTGCAGTGTGATGTTATGTGTGTGCACATGCGTGTGTTAGATGAGATTATGTGAATTGTTTCATGATGATATGCAGCCTATTAGTATACTAATTCAGATCATGTCTTGTCCACTATAAAATATACAACTTTAATATAAAATATATTTTGTATAATATTTTTAATTAAGAAGTTGCTCATATAGCATATACTCAAAAAAGTAGACAGCGAGAGAATGAGAGATCCGTCATTGATAGCAGTTATGTTCTTGACCTCCTCCACATTCCTCCTCCCAAATAAGGATAAGGTAGCCAAAACACACTCTCTCTCTAACCTCTCTAACACCCCCCCCCCCCCCCTTTTTTTCTCTCTTTTGAGGACATGACATTCTCACATAATAGCTGGTTCAAATGCGCAAGCATTAACAAAGTTTGTGGCATTTATATTGGTCCATTTATGCAGTAGATGTTGTGTTGATGTTGTTTCGAATCGTGTGTACAAGTGAAGCAGCTGCAGGAAGGATATTTTTGTTATTCCTCTGAGGTTTGGATGTGTAGTTAGGCATGATGATAAGAAGAAGGATATGAATAGGGGTCTTAAAGGGATACTCTCCTTTTTTTGGAAATACGCTCATTTTACAACTCCCCCAGAGTTAAACTGTTGAGTTTTACCGTTTTTGAATCCATTCAGCCGATCTCCGGTTCTGGCGGTAGTACCACTTTTAGCATAGCTTAGCATACATCATTGAAGTGCACAAGACCATTAGCATTTCTCCCCAAAAAATTACCAAAGTGTTTCGATATTTTTCCTATTTAAAACTTGACTCTTCTATAGTTACGTTGTGCAGCTGAGACAGACGGAAAATGTAAAGTTGCGATTTTCTAGGCTGATATGACTAGGAACTATACTCTCAACTATAATACGTTTTTTCTTGGGTTTTCTATCAGACTCGTGATGTCTAATGTAAAACGACGATTACAAACAACTCTGTCTGCACTGTTGGAGTCAAGTTGACCCTATTTAAAGTTACTGTTCACCTTTGTACACTGCACATCTGTGGTTGAACTATAAAAAAGCTAGCCTTCAGAAATTGCAAGTAGCATCCAATGACGCTTTGAGGATGTTACTAAAAAAGCCCAGGACAACTTGTGTGAGTGAGTTGTTTGTGAGTACCAGAGTGGATACACTGCAGTCTGTCCTGCGAAAAGCGAGTTCAGGTTCATTTGTCGACTGAATGATTCTGTAAATCAAGTTGTTGTGGTGCTGGTGAATGTTAGGTGTCTACATGTCTCAGTTTTGGGAACACTGGCATAATGCTGCGTTCACGTGCTCTGGAAAATAGGATATTTTCCACTTGTGAACTGGTATTTACCAGTGTGTTGCGTTCAAGTGCTTTTGTTGTCGTAATGTGGTAAAAAGATGGAGATCCAGACCTTTTATTTAGCTAAAACTATTTTAGATTGCTTAAGTCATCTGCAACAGCAAGAAAATGATTTATCGAAACTCAAAGGTAAATAATATGCTATATATTTTCAAGATCATAATTAGTATATATTTTTACCATTCACGACTCTTGCGGTGCTCTCCGCCATTTTGAAAATGGTTCAAAGGTTATCTCAACTCGTCCATCAAAATATTCTACGAGTTGCCCAGTGGAAAATACCACATGAGGGGGTGTTCATGTGCATTTTCCACGTCGGCTTTTGGTATTTACCATAATTACCATAGCACATGAACGCAGCATAAGTGTCTTTTAAAAACGAGCCTTTTGTAATGTTTGTGTGTATTGTATTATTGTATTTTTTTATTTTTTTTTGTTTGTTTGTATGGATGTACCATGAGTCTGAATAAAAGGATACTACTACTAAAACAATTTCGAGGGCACTTGGGGCTCAATTGTTAGAGAGTCAGACTTGTAACCTGAAGGTCGTGGGTTCAAATCTCAATAGCGGCAAGAGAAAGTGGGGGGAAGGAATTAACTCTTCCACGCTTAATACCTACGACTCAAGGGCACCTCATTTTCCGACTCCCCAGGTTCTTCTTATAGGCTTGCTGATGTCATGATTAAACATCAATCCTTTACAAGCCATTTTCAAGAATATCAGCGCGTACGCATGCATCCGCAGTATGTCTAGATGAGGTAAGTTTACTTAATTCTGCCATTGAGTAAATGAATGTGCAAAACCACACATTCCTCATCTGTTCAGCAAACATCAGACCTCTTTCCTTACTGCAGCTCTGAAGGCCCTCCAATCCTCACTCTGCAGGGGATCATCATTCTTTATTTTAGTAAAAACAAGTGATGTAACGACGTGTAGTCGGCCAGTCCACCAAAAGGGAAAAATTACAGCTACTGGTCATAATGTTTATACAGTCTTTACACACAGCCTCATGATTTTAGGGTTGTTCAAGGCGTGGCTGAAATAATCTATGCGCAGAGATTTTCATGATGGAGGGTTGTTTAGTTCTCTGTGAGAGCAGATCTCTCTTTCTCTCTCGCTCTCCTTGTCTCTCTTACCTCCACAAACGCAGCTTACCATATATGGCTGTGTTTGTGGAGAGGAAAAGGGTAAGTGTTCAATTGTACGACTTTGCACTGTCATGAGCCTAAGTGGGTTCGGGGGTGTAAGTCTTCATTCAAACACAACTTTTGAGTAAGAAAAAAAGTGAGAACGAATTGGCTGGGAAGTACTGAGCGATAATTGATGAGGGATTCTCAGAGTTTACTTAGTAGGTTTACCTTTTAAAGACATCATGAATCAAGTAAGCCAGTGATGAAGAGAATGTACGCACTCACAAAGACTCGAAAAATGTTAACACTTTAATGTTTTAACAAATTAATACATTTGTTATTAATCTTTGTTAATTGTAGTTCATAAAACTTCAACTTTTCATGGTTAGATCATGTTAACTCGGATCCATTTAATAATATTAAAAGATACAACTTTGGATTATAATTACATGTACATTTTTTTTTAAATTAACATTAACTGAGATTTATAACCTATGCTTTAACCTATGCATGCTAACTAAATATACTTAACTGAAGATAACTAATGGAACCTTAGCCAAATCTGCCTCAAAAATAATTCCTTACTTTCACCTTTCAATGACTCAATAAAGCACTTTGTAGTTCACTGAAAATGAGCTCAAGTTTACCAGCTACTGCCAGCACATTGTTTTATACGCACACATTTGTGCTCGAAGGCAGGGTGTGATGTAATGTGTGATTTGTCAAGCTTGCTTGCCTATGCGTGTGTCTGACAACATTCTTAATATGGTCAGACTTCCCAGTTGGAACAAATTAAAGAGAGAGAGAGAGAGAGAGAGAGAGAGAGAGAGAGAGAGAGAGAGAGAGAGAGAAAACAAGAAGAAAAGTGAGATTCTCAGACATCATGACTGCCTGTCTGTAGGTCATTGTGTCACACTGACCCTTGTGCAGTCAAACCCTCTGAACATGTCTCGGCATTTCCCTTGAAAGAGACGCGAAGCGCCTTTCAGCTCGGATTAAATGATCACGTGCAGATGATGTTCAATGACTCTCATTATCTAAATCCCTCCAGACATTAATGTCTGTTTTCCATTTATTGTTGAGAGAGAATAAACCTGGCCGCATATTTCACACTACAGTGTTCACAGACAAAATGTCACATTTCCGTGCCTCAGGGGAATTATTCACTGTGTGCTTTGTTTACATTTCCTTCTTCCAACAAAACTTTTAGATGAATGTAAGCAGACCAAATTAGAGACGCACCAGAAAGGAAATACTTAGCTGTTAACTTTGAATCGTATTAAAGTTATACTATCAAGCAGTTAAGTGATTACACTTAAACTTCCTTCAATTGGTGTAACTTTACAATAACATGTAGGCTCCCAAAAAAAATAATATATATATAATGAGAAAATATAATAATCCATAATAATATCCAAATAAAAAACATATCTAAAAAACATATTCTTTTTTGTAACTTCTGCTTTTCCAAACTATGTTCTTTTTTATATGTGGGAACAGTGGATCACACTTAACCGGTGTGAAAAACTGTGTAACTGTTGCCCCTGAACCCACCATGGGCTTTATTCATGCCCAGGAGAGGTTGCGCCATGACTGGGATATTGTGGAATTAGTTAATTGACCAATCCTGTGATTCTCTCCCCCAGAAACCCCAATGTGCTCCAATCACCACATCTGCTCTCCTCCCCAGAGTCACATTAAGAAAAAAATATTCATGAGAAAGCAAGAAGATACAAGTCATGTGATTTATATTGTCATGCTACCAAAATGACACCTGTTTTTAATAAGGTGTGGCTAACACAGTCTCATCCCAAATCGTCATATAACTGACGTTTTGGGACGTCTTTTGACCATACGTCAATATTCGCCTTTTTAGGGCCCCCTTAAACGTCGGTAGATGAGGTTATGGGATCCTAACTCTACCCCATACCTAAACTTAACCCTAAACCTAACCCGTCACCTAACTGACGTTAAAGGTTAAGCGTCAGTTGTATGACGGCCCGGGATCGCCATCTACCGACGTTTAAGGGGGCCCTAAAAAGGCGGATATTGACGTATGGTGTGGCAGAGTGAGACAGACGTGACGGATGTGGCATCAGTGATTAAGTCTTATTTACTGGGTCACTTATATGGTCACACTTCTTCCCAGTGGATGGCGAAGGTCAGGGATATTAACACTCTTTATGTTTACTTGCTCTTGCATTATAATTTCTCTGTGAGTGTACTTGAACCGCCTGTGGGATCTGCCCAGTACAGTCAGTCAACCAAAAGCTGTTTTCTGTGATGTGCAATGGGAAGAATAAATATGCAGAACAAAGTATTAGAGCTCATGACACCATTACACACTTCTAGGGCTTTTGACTCTGACTCATTCGGCTGTAATATCCTCTCAAACAGTAACAGATGCTGCCGACTCTTACACTGCCTTCAGACATGTTTAGGTGTGTGCTCTCTCTCTGTGTGTGTGTGAGTGTGTCTAATACGTGTTGTACTTAATGACTCTTCCTAAGCACACTTATTAACCCCAGTTTGATGTAGATGTGTTTTTCTCTTTTACCAATATAAATATAATAATGAATGACAATGTCATCCAGTGATGTTGAAAACCTTGAGATAGAGGCATCCTCTAAACGTGTGAAGAGACACAACATAAGATTAAACAGTAACAAAACATGTTAAAAAAAATAAGTAAAAGTAAATGAATAATTGTATTCTTAATATATATATAAAGGTTTTGTCAGTGCCATTGACATGTGTATGTGCAACAATGGTCAACATTCATCATTTAAAATAGTTTTTTCTTTTGTGATAAGCAGAAAGACAGCTGTGAAATGACATGAGGGGAGTAAAAACCCATTCACTACAAGGACGATAACGATAACTTCTGAGAACAGGGAAGCTGATAACGACACAAAGGAATCATTAGAATCACTTTCAGATTGATTTTCTCTAGCTGATGAAGAATAAAAATATTGGCAGCCAATCAGAATCCACCCTTTAAAAAGCATGAGCATTTAAAGAGGCAGACGATATACAGTAACAGAATGTTATGATGTGTTGGTGTGGACACTAATATGGTTATTTTTTTATAGTTATCCTTGATTAATGGCCTTGTGATGATGGAATTGTCATTTTTTGGTGAACTGTCCCACTCCCAGCAAGCAATTTTGCATTTAAAAGATGTCTAATAGCTGTCCAAACACAGCCCTGATGTCTAGGCTAAAACAAGGCAAGATTTGGGCTGCCAGTGAAAATTTAGACATCGAACCGTAGGCCTATCCCAAGAATAGATACACAACCTACGCATAGAACATGTCAAAGAAATTAAACCAAACACCTTGTAATCTCTGTTGACTTTGCTAGGATAATTGAAATTATTCAAGGGTTTTTCTGAACCTGCATTCTCACAAATCTGGTTCCAGCCGTTGATGGCTTCCTTTTTCTGACCCTTCCAACTGTCTCTATAGGAGCCAGCAGTTAATAAACACTTCTGAAATGGCAACATTAGATGATTTCAAAATGGTCCATGCCCATGTGTCACATGATGAGAAAAGACCATTATCATCATTAGGCCTGTTCATGCAGACATTAAGGTGTTGACTAAATCATATAGGGGATGACAATGGTGATTTACCTACTAGCAAGAGTGAGCGTGCAGTGTAATTGTGCATGGTAAATGCAATCTGATCGTCAAATGAATGGCTCGCAATCCTTCTTCCAATCCAAATACAGTAGACGCAAGTGTCATTACACATACATATATATATATATATATATATATATATATATATGTGTGTGTGTGTGTGTGTGTGTTGACCTGCATTTTGTTTATATCACGTTTGTGATGACGTAATACAAACGCAAATTCACTGGAGTGAATTTGAATCGATTTGAGTGTGAAACCAGACCAGTGAGTGTGTGAAACCAGGAAAAAATGCGCTTGAATTTGGACAGTGGCAAATGTGCCTAAAAGCCCCCTTCTGACCTGCATGTGTTTTTCTTTAGTTATTTTGTCTGGCTGAGGATACAGAATGTCCTCTGTATGATATGGCTTGAACCTCTTAGCACAGTCCTTGAAGGCCATCATAATCAATATGAAAACACAAAGACAAAGAAAGTCTATTTTTGAAAAAAACACATTTGTTTTGCCTGGACGTCTGGCTTTATGTACTGATTTGGATGGATCTCTGTAGTTTTTACTGGATTTGCTGAATGTATGAGATGTAATTCTAACATTATGAATTTTTTTTTTTTGTTAACATGGACAGGATTACAGTCACAAAGCAAGTTTGTGAAACACAAATTTACTTGACCTCCTCAGAGTAAACTTGTCTCATTCTAAAAGGATTATTGGCTCATGTTTGTTTTTGGCCTTCATTTTTGCTCCTGCCTGTATCAGAATGGTTGTGAATCACAAATATGCTATCATCCTTGTTTTTCAGCTAATACGATTAACAACAAGACTCCCTTCCCTCCACAGATTGTATCCATCTTTCCAGAGCCACACGTTCCTGTGGAAAACATGCCCTATCTGTCACTACAGCTTCCTGTGTTAACAAATTACACCCATAAACGGATGGGTCACAACAGGCCCATCTCTCTCAATCTTTCTGCCTCTCTTTTTCTCTCTCAGGAGTGTTTGATACATTTGATCAAAGAACAAATAATTGCTTTTTTAGCTTGGCCCATTCTTGATAAACATTATTGCCTTGTTAAACCTATTGCTATTATATTGCTGCACTTCATAAAACAGTTAAACTGTTAAAAATGTTTCTCTACTTCTACCTAACAAGCAAAAGTAAAGTCGAACTTAGCATGCAAGTCTCGCTATGAATAAAAAAGCTGATTGCAAAGTTTTTTTCATGTCTTGTACTCTTTTTCTAAACCAATAAAACAAAAAAGGAATGTAGACAGAAATCTTGGGAAAATGTAAGCGCTTCATATAATTGTCTCTCCATATATGTCATTTCTCTTTTATTCCTTTTTCTTTGCTCCTCCTTTGCCTATTACTGTACTAATTCTGTATTTACTGTCCATAAAACTGAGCATAATATTTTATTAGCCCATATTTAGACTCCATTTATAGCAATGACAGCATTTTTCCTTGTCTTCAGAGTCTGTCAAACGACATCACTATACCGCCTCGTGTGCATTGTCAACATGTTTTGTAGAGCATTTGTGATACTTATATAGCCTATTTGTGTGATTTGTTATATCTAATTGAATACATATTTAGGTGACATACTTACCGAATAATATCTTTACAATGAAATCCTACACATTTCTCTGTGGAGGAAAGCACCAACATTGTGTGTACATTATAAATGAAACATACAGAAACAGGTCTTCACGCATATCTTGGTTATGCCAGTTTTATTTGGGACGTTTTGTTAGGCTTAAGCACATAAATGCAAAATTTTGGACTGTTCCCCCTAGATTCCTGGGCTTGTTGACACCTTGTCTGTTGTATTTGACAATGATTTTTTCTTTCAAGAGCCAGATTGCTGCCAGAAGGTCTTTATCTTTATTAAGTCTTTATTGACTTGATCAGACTTTAGGGAATGTGGGCAAATAAAAAACAGACAAAAGATACCCAGCACTAATAAGTAATTCTATTATCCCATATGGCGCAAATGATACCTGGTTTTAGACTGCTGGATATAGTTAAAGTTGTATTGGGGCAATATGATGTCATCCCGCCCCAAGGTTCACTGATAAATTAGGCGGTTACTACAGCTAGTCCCCTCTCTTTCCCTCTAAGGAATGGAGTACTGGGAATGTTTGCAGTCAAAGACAGTTACCCAAGGGAGCCAAGCTGCCTACGCCAGGTTTTATTGGTACCAAGAGGGTTATAGAGTCTCATAGACATGCCCATACTGGGCCATTATAAGATCCAGCTGAAATAAATGCAATATATTAAACAGCAAACTCTGTCTATTTAATTATTACAAAGTGAAACACTTAAAGTCTCGACCCGTTGTAATGAGCAATTGGTCCCAAAAGTATGTGAAATAATATGAATACATTTTGAAATTAATCTTCTAGTCTGGTTTCACTACAGTGAGCACATCTCGTGGTGATGACCCTAACCTGCCAAACCTAAAATGACCATTTAAAAGAAAATAGGCTGATTTATAAGTCTCAAATAATGAGGACCACTTCAAATGTCCCCATTGTGAGGGCATTTTTTTCAAAGTTTGGCTGTCCAAAGTGCGCGCGCACACACACACACACACACACACACACTGTAGAGGAGGATGAATGATCTCACCAGGAAACAGACCCTCATGACACATTTATGCTGTGCAGTATACAAGTTGGATGTAATCCAGTTCGACTTGAGAAGGAAAAAAAAATGTTTGGTGTCTTTATGAGAGTGTTCTAGTCAGTAAGATCTTTTTGTTCACTAAGACAATGAATGATATTATTACCTCTGGACTTGCAACAACTGTTGGTGTTTAACAGCCAACCGAAGCTCTTTGTCGAGCTGCAGCAGCAGCAACAGTTTTCAGGCAGATGGAGCAGATACAGGCGCTCTGAGTCTGAACAGGGTGACATCATACCTTTACAATCTGAAGGCGCGGCCGCCGGTATCACGTCAGCTCGAGACGCGCTCGCGCGAACACAAGAGAAACCCCCCCTCTTTGATACTTTACCAATTAAGGTTCTCGCATTAACAGCGGAGAGGACAGAAGGAGGCAGAAAAGACTAAAGGGTGTCACTAGTGTTTTTTCTCGAGTTCAGCGAACAAGCTTTTCCTCCAGGGACACTCGTGCGGTCCGGGAGGGTCGTACAGTGAGTTTTCTGCACTGTGCTAGAGTGAAGTTCACCCTCTGCTTCCTGTGCCACACGCAAAATCTGAAGGGATAGCCGACAGCAACAAGAATTACTGCAGGACAAGCAGCAAAACGTAAGTTTTAAAACCTCTATTCGGGGTTGCGAGGCATGTTTTGTGATGTTGAACCTAATCTTATGGGTAGCTTACTTTTAATCTAGTTTTGCGTCAAAACTAAATTCGTAAACTCGTTCAGAATTCGTAGAAAGACAATGACGCAAACTTTTTACCACAAAAAAGGTTTTGTGTTTGCATACATGTTTCGTGTAGCGGGATTGGTGCGTGTAAGCCTGTATTGTCCGTAACGGTACTGAATGACTGAATATCATATTGCCTACTTATTGCTCTGCATGCTTAACGAGGTGTGAGGGCTTACCTATATTATATTGCGAAGAAGGAGACCGAATAAAACGGGGAAAAGTATAGGCTAACGAATATTAAATAAATCATTTAACCCACGTCAAAAGCTTTGTCTGTAGGTTGCATGCAAATCCAAACATTAATATTGAATTTATATTAATACTTCTTATTATGTCCTCATTTATGAAAAGTGTATAAATCCGATGCTCTACAGAGGTTTTGGCTCATCACTCGTAATCTAATTAAGGCCTCCTCACCAAATAAGGGAAAATATGGAAAGATCCGCGCGCCCTTCATCCTTTGATGTGAGTTGCGCGCGCCCCCCCATGCCCAAGGAGAATCTTGCACGAAACATCCCCATCTCACCTGGATGACAATAGTAAAACAGTAAGATTCAACATTATGCTTTTCAGTAAAAACACACATTCATATATAGTGAACGGTTCTAGTTGTCAGGGAAGCTGTCACAATCAGTAACTATAATGTTTTGAGTCAAAAGTCCAGTTACAGAAATGTGTGTATTCTCTAGTCGTTTTATATTGGTTCCACACACGTTTCAAGAGTCGTTCTTTGACAATTTTTTTGTGAATTCTGTCCTCCAACTAAAATTACAGTATTAACAGTATACAAGTGACCACACTGGCATAGCCTACACTCAGACAATAATGAAAGTAGATTTTAATTGAAAAGGTGAAGTGTTTGTCATTTGGTGTTTTTAGGAGGTTTATTTTTGGACAAATGTTTATATATATATATATGTGTGTGTGTGTGTGTGTGTGTGTGTGTGTGTGTGTGTGTGTGTGTGTGTGTGTGTGTGTGTGTGTATTATTGTGACAGCTTGCCTCATATAGCCAAGTCTGACAACATGCCTCATTTTGGTCAACCTGTGTTTAAAGTTGAAAAGTTATTCCTTGAAGTGATATTATTTCTTCCCTATTCAACACCCTTCTTGAATGCTGATTTTGTCTATCGGCAATTGATTGGATGGTTGTGGTTTGCTATTGCTGTGATGTCATGTGAGTGACATGTTGTCCCGCCCTCACGCCAGTGAACGCGTCATCAGAGAAGAGTAGAGATATCACTGCAAGAGGGAGGGGAAGTTATTTTGATTAAATATTACGAGGGCACGTTAATTAAAATAAATACATAAATCATTAATAATATAATAAACACTGCTAGATTCCATGAAAAAATAAGAATTGTCCATTTCGATTTCATGGTGACTAATGTAAAGTCACCATGAATCTGAATCGCTTTTTTTGTGTGACATCTAGCCCCAGTCTCTTGCAATGTTATAATTATTTGTAATTATTTAGAATTATAGAATTATCAAGAATTATATAAAACACAGTTTTCTATTTGGTTTGTATGTGCACAACAGCAATAGCAAAGCCACATCCTGTTGACACAAAAATTAAACACCTTAACAAAAAAAAAAAAAAACCCGTAATGCCATCCTTACCCTCGATGTGCAATCTGTGTTTTTCACTCATGCATATGTAGATGCACATCAGCCTTTGCGGTTGACAGCAGCATGTGGGTTAACCACACTTTTCAGCATGGCTGTTTTAACTCACTACGTTGAGATCATGTTTTGATGATATGAATGTTGAAATGTGAAATTACTCAACAATGATTAGGCCTATCATTGGGTTTTTTTCTTCAAGTTCACTTAAAGTGATAAAGGTATAGTTCATCCAAAAATGAAAATTCTGCCATAATTTATTCACGCTTAAAGTTGTTCCAAATCTTTATTTATTTCATCTGTTGAATTCAAAAGAAGATATTTTGAAGAATGTCAGAAGCCAAACGGTTGATTTACTTCCATAGATTTTGTTCCCTACTGGTGCACATCAACTGTTTGGTTTCCATATTATTCAAAATATCTTCTTTTTTGTTCAGGAGAAGAAAGAAATTCATAGGTTTGGAACCATTTGAGGGTAAGTAAATTATGACAGAATTTTTATTTTTGGGTGAATTTTAATTTTTAATATTTTATTTTTGGGTGAATAGTTTTTAATCATAAGGGAATGTAGCTCAGTGTTCTTCAACTGTGTCTCAAACCTTGACAATATTCCTACATATGTCTGCTACATGTTAGAGTACTTAAGAACTATACAGTCCCATTTGTGGTCCAGTAAACGTACATTGGAAACATTTATAGGCTAACCCATTCTGCATAGTCATACATGATATAGCCTATCTATTGTTTATTTAAAAAATGTTGAAGCTGGAAAGTTTATGATTCCAGTTCTGTAATTTAAAATCCATGTTTTAAAATCTAATTATAAGATGAAAAAAATGTTTTTTTGTTATTTTGTTTATTTTTTTCTGCCATAAAACGCACTGTGTGGAAATTCATAAAATCAGCCTGTCATAATTCATATATCCTGCAAGTGGCGCCAAACCACCGGGCTCAGCAGTGGTGTGTTCTGAATGCCTGACTTGTTTGTTCTTCTTTTGTTTCTGAGCAACTGGCCTAGTTTGACTGTATTGTGAACATTCTAATATCACATGGGATTTGTGAATAATACAAAACATTGGTGATTTTGTTGACTTATAAAATTAGATATTTGGTTATACATTACAAGTAGTTATGAATGCAGATCATGATCTTGAGTCTGACACAATGTAACCTTATTGTTTTAGGTTATGTTGTGAGACATAATGTAATGAAAAACCTGAAGGCTAGCCTTCTCCTTATCTTAT